CAAAACTGGCTTGATAAATGTCACACAAAAATCAACATCCATAAATCAAGTCAGGTTACATTTACACTTAGGCGTTCGGATTGCCCTCTACTTCCACCTTACATCATCCCTTTGCCAAATCATACATATACAAAATATTTGGGGTTAACAACGGACAGACGACTGACCTGGAAATCACAAGCTACAACACTAGCGGATCCAGGATTTATTTTTTTTGGGGGGGGGGCTTAAGCCCGAAAGTTGTTTTTTTCATAAAAATAATGATAATTACTTTGGAAAAAAAGAAAGAAACTAACTACCTATATGAAATGGTGTTTAAGTGATCCCTAAAGCCCTTTTAAATGTAATTACACAACAATAATACTTTAAGAGATACTTTTAAAATATTTTTTTCGATAAAACATGGTTATATTTGTCCATTTTGGGGGGGGGGGGCTTCAGCCCGAAAGCCCCCCCCCCCGTAGATCCGCTCGTGAGCTACAACAATAAAAAGAGATTGAACTATCAACTGTCAGGACTAAGGAAAATACTTCAACATAAAACAAACTATCGCTCTCTAACAAAATGATCATATACATGCTACTTAGACCCATATGAACATATGCCACTTAGAGATGGAGTTCATACAAAAAAAAACACCGACTTCTTAAGTCATCCAATCTAAATTTCTACAAAACATCAGTCATGCTACGTCAAGAATAAATCACTTCATAAAGACCTACAAATACCACATGTGATTGACGTAATTAAGAAATAATACATTTTCATGACTCATTTATTGGACATCCTAATCCACTTGTACAGAAAATACGGACATGCCCAGGGGTGTCCAGAAGTGAGTTTTGTGGCCATGAAAGTTGTGTCATCATAATTTTTGAGGAATGCATATTTTGACAGGTTTTGGAATTTTCGATGGGGGCAAATTTCAACTGGTATGAATTTTAAGACTAAGGTACAAGGAGCACACCACAGCAAGTGTAATTGTACATGATCTATGATTATTCTAATTATACCTTAGCTTGCTCTGTTTTTAAGGAAATATGAGCAGTAAAATATCTTGGGAGGAGGGAGAGCAGGTTCTTATGCCATCGACCTTGGGGATCTTTTTTTAACATTTATTTTGTGGGAAGTGAATGAGATTTAGCTATCATGCTCAGCTATGTAATGCTCATTGGGTTATATTCAGACAGAGTACCTCAGAATCCAAAGAGACTTAAACATCTCTGCTCCATTAAGAACTTCAGTTTAGGAGTGCCTTCAATAGGAGGTTGCTCCAATCAAGTTCTCATCCTAGTCCCATAGGGCAAAAGTTTACCAATGAAGAGCATATTTACAATAAATACGGGTCGAAATGTCCGCAAATGTTAAAATAAATATTATTATTTATTTTTGTCGTTTTATTTTGAGTGATCATCCCAACCATTCTTCTATTCATTATCCACTACAGTCAACCATCAACCCACAATTATAAATTATAAATAAAATATATTTAATGGAAATCCTGAATCTGAAAACATTTCCATCAAGAGTTTATGAGAATTTCTTTTTCAATGACAAACAAAAATAAATATTAAAATTACCTCAATTGAAATTTCCTTTTTTTATTTTTTTAAATAGGTACCTATCTCAAGGGAATTAGCAGAAAAAAAGAGTGATAGAAAATCGTAGTGGGTGGTATATTTTGGGATACAGGAGTTACAGGAGGTACCTACCTTTTTTTTTTTAATGAATTGAATAACAATATTGCAATGAATAAATTATAATTTTACAAAAAAAGACGTCTTCCTGTATATTTCATTTATTTTTCAATTTTGTGCAACCGGTTTCGGTCTTCTATCAGACCTTCTTCATCAGGCTAGGTAAAATAATAAAATTAATAACAACAATAAAAACTTTTGTAAATAATAATAAAATCTAATTAAAAATCAAATCTTAATAAATTAATTAATTAAAAATGGTAATCACCCAACTGATAGTGGTCCTCTCCTACTTGTCAAATGAGGACTAAAAAATAAAAATAAAACTATTGACCAGATGGGCTATACCTACCCCTACGTATTGTTTTTATTTGCCAACACTAATTTTATGAGTGCAGGATCCTCAAATTGAGTAGTTTGTGCATTCAGGCATATTCTAATGTTTCTTTTTATTGTAATATGCATTTTGGCCAGATGTTGTGTTAATTTTTATGTACAACATTGTTATTCTCAAGGGACTTTGTCCCAGAATAAAGTTGATTCTTCTATTCTATTCCATCATTTTTTATAATCTTCTCCTTCTTCTTTGTCTTCCTCTTATGCCATTAGTTAGCGTCGAGGAGCCTCAACCCAGCGTAACCACTCTTCCCGGTCCCTGCTTAGCCGCCTTGAAGACAGTCCGCATCCGAGGCTAGTTAAATTGCTTTGAATCGTTTATTCTCCAGACGGGAGATTAGCCCAGTGCTGGAGGTCCCGTATCCTAGGGACAACTGGCCTCCTGGATATTTATATCCCCTCAGGAGGAAGGGTGGCCGGGTTATGCCCCCCAGCACTGGGTACCTGTTGGTCTACGGGTCTTTATTCAGTATATTCAGACCACCCCTTCTAAGAGAGATGCCGCATCCATCACCCAGGGGACGTGCTCCCTAGTGGACAGGTTCCACCGAGAGCATTTTTTATAATCCTTTTCTTAATTTCTAATTTTTCAAAAAAGTCCATTATTTTCCGTTTTGAAATGGCATGCAACAGTTTTACCTTATTACTTTTTTTGTGGGTGTGAACAATTTAAAAAATGATCTTTAAAATGTGATGCATGGCCTGAGCCAGTGAAGTGTTTTTTAATTCTACTATTTTGTTTCCTTCCTTTCTGTCCGATATAAACGGCAGAACATGAACATTCTATCGAGTAGACCCCACTCTCATTTAAAGAATCAACGCGATCTTTAGTCCTGGAGACCATGTTTTTTAAACTTGTAAAAGATTTTAGGGCCAACAATTTGTTTGTCTCTTTTAAAAATACTATTAATTTTATAAGTATCAGGACCTATATATGTAATTGTTCTGAAATCTTAAACATTAATATTATTATATTGTAGACTGTAATAAGTTGCGTATTCAAATTTTTGTCTTTCAATTTTCCTAAATATTTTCTGTGGTGTACCCATTATTTGATGCAATTTGAAAAATGATTGCCTTTTCTTTGGAAATTTTGTTGAGGGATAAAGTGTTTTATGCTTAGCATTTTTTTGTTTGAAGTGAATGAGAATGAGCTGTCATGCTCGGCTATGTAACACTCATTCGGTTATATTCGTCTCAGGTAGACTAATTTTTGCTTTGGATTAAAATATCTCAGAAATTCAAAATCAGATCTGCATACTGTAGACTAGGGAAACATTCAACATTTCATTCTCTTTGTAATATGCTATTATTCAAAATTTTATCTTGAGGGGACCCTGTGTTAGAGAGGCAAAAAGAGAAAAAATTAGTGTCAAAACCAAATAATAACAATTGTTTTGGATCATTTGGATTAAAATATCAGAAACTAAAAATCGGACCTGCATACTGTAAGCAAGGGAAATGTTCAGCATTTCCTCTTCGTAATTAGCTATAATTCAAAATTGTATTTTGATGTGATGCTGAATTAGAGAGTCGGAAAAAGGAAAAAAAACTCGTCATTTATTTTTGCCTCTATAAGCGGCTTTGCGGCAAGATGAAATTTCGAATAATAGTTATTTACAAAGGAATAATTTACCAGAGCAATTTATACATAATTATAATTTAAATGCTATTATAAATTGTACAATAATAATATTATAAATAAGAATTACACAAATATAAATTGTATATGTTGTAAATGTTATTACTCCGCGATAAGATGATAGAAGAAAAAATATTTTATGCAAAATTATAAATTGTATATATTTATTGTAAATGTTATTGGTTTGTGAATATAGAACAAAAAATTTATATTTCACGTTATTAACCCCGCCTTGGCTTGTTGATGTTTTAACTTCAATGGTGTGTTGAATTATATGTTTTTGTTTTATTTTTAAAAATCGCACTAGGTTCTTGCAAAAATGATTAGTTCATATTAATTTCACATATGATCTTAAATTACAAAATTTAAAAATAAATCTAATTTGAATTTTCACTGGATCCTGTATACAATCCTAATCCTTACATCCACAAACCAACACTTGCTTCTCACAGTCTACATACTGGGTGTGTTGCAGGTCTGGGAAGGGTATCTCTAAAACTGCTTAGCTTCACGCCATCTGTAGGTACTACTGAAAACTACAAATTACAATTCAGAGGTTTTTTTTTTTTATAATAATGATAAGCTCTAAGAAAATGTGATAGCTCCCAATTTAGTAGAACATTATTCACCGAATGTTTTCCAAATTAATGCAATTAGGTATATTAATTTTAAGATATGTTATTTATTTTTCAATCAACACAATAACAAATTAAACTTAATTTTGTATTAATAAAAATGTATTAAGAATGATTAGCCTTTTGTCAGTTCTACACATTTATACTTTTATAGGTCTAATTCAAACCACTTAGAATTTTTGCTAGCATTGTTTGCATTTTTTTTCTCCCTTTTTGAAAATCCGAAAACAATTTTATGGAATCAAGATCTGTACTTTGATGGTATTTAAAAAATATACATACCTAATCATTATCAAGCCCTTCATTTGAGTTTATTTTCATTAAAAAACTATAATTAATGAATGTAATAAAATGTACACGCAAAATTTTACTGTATAAGCACATATCTACGCTATGTGCACTCACTCACATGACCACAAATAATATTATGAGATCCTCCCTCGTATTCAACAGATGACTTTAATTTCTTAATTTCCTTTTCTAATTTTTTAGAACTTTAGAGAGAAAAGCTATGTGAAACAAGCTTTTCTATTGAGGAAAAAAGATCTCAATTAACATAAACATAAAACTTATCACAGTTTAGTGAGTAAAGTAACAACTAGTACCTTCTCCATCAAGTAACAATGGTTTAAAAAATAAAAATTTATTTGTAGATAATTATAAATGCTAGTTCACGCCATAAGCAAAGTAAAGCACCATTGGTCCCCCTTTGGTACATTTAATTAAACATGTTTCTTTTGGCAATAAGAAGAAAATAGAACCAAATTTCAAAGTCTTCTTTGTCTTTCCTATCTCACCTATTCCACTTAACACAATAAAAATTGAACAAGTTTTAGAAGCAGAAGATTGATATGTTTCTCCAGTCTGAATCTACAACATAATTATTATAAAATTTAGTATAACAATAATAAATCAAAATAAATTAATAAGATACCATAAAAAAAACTGAGAACACAAGCAATATGTGCAATGTGAATGCATCATTATTAATCTACTTTGAAATAAATCATAATTACAGGGATGATAATTCTATATAATTATTTTCTTTTACATTCAAAAAAACTTCCTACAAGATTATACATATATACCAATATATAAATATACCTCTATTCCCACAACAACCTTAGATGTGTTGAGTTTTTGGGCTCAATCATACAAAAGAGGTCAGAAACATTAGCACACTATCTTTCTCCCTTATTTATTTTCAGCCATTATCTTCATGGACTATTGAACATAAAAGGTATTATAATTCTTCAATCCAAAATATAAAAATACTTCATGTTTTTTAGCAAAACTCAATATTCCCTTTGCCCACTGTTCCCATCCCCATAAAAATCTATTTTTTAAAAATATATATGACCATAAATAATTGTTTTTAATTATTTATTTTATGCAACAAGAGGCAGAATTTAACATTTTCAATAAAATTATAAAATACCAAATCTGGGTGATGCATCCACTTTTGTAGGAGCCCTCCACGTATTATGTAACTTAATATTTTTTTTCATGTCTCTGCAAGCATTTTAAACATAATAAAATCATATATTTATTGACAATTTTGAAGGTTTTCAAAATTCAAAACAAATTACATTGCATGACAAACATATTACAAAAAAGTTCGAATAATCGAAACAATTTCAAACGAAATAATTTCCTATATATTTTTAATTTAATCTTATTTTTCAAATGCTACAAATTTGCATTTGTAAAATATCCCTATAAAAAACATTGAAATAAATGTAAAAGAAAGAAATTTAAAAGTTAATAGCAGTTAGGAACTTAGGCAGTCAGTAATTATTGTACAGAAGTTTTTATACAACTGCTCTTGAACAACACTTTTAGAGTTCATTATGTATTAAATTTTATATTTAAATAACTGAAGTAATAAAAAATTCTTTGATGGTACTTACGATCACGCTTGTAAGCCCAAATTCTTGCCCAGGAGGATTAAAAACCATGACATTATCACTTCCCTTAGGAACGCCAACCATTTTCAGCTGATCAACGGTGTATGATTTAAAATCTAATATCTCCAATAAAACATTAACATCCTTTAATTTTGGTGTCAGCCCACATCTAACAACATTATCGGAACATGACATGCATTCAACACAATCTGAAAACAAAGAGGACAATAGTTTAGTGAAGATTTCAACAGTCATATCATAGTTTTCTATAGTTCAATCTTTGAATAAGAATCCAACAGAACGAATCAATAAACAATTTTGGTTCATTAAGAAATACTTATGAATTATTTAACATTTGAGAACTTAATGATTAATACAATGTATTACAGAAGATAATACCAACCTCCTTTTATGTAAGCATGTGGCACTCCAGCAGCAATAAACATACATTCTCCAGGATTAAGAGTAAAGTAATTTAAGAAGAATGGCATGAACACTCCGACATCATTCGGATACCATTCACTAAGTTGTTTTATCAAGAGAAACAGGTATTTTTCTTTAGCACTGTCATCTAATAATAATTTAATAAATCATTATTTAAAAAAAATAAAGGTAAGTTATTAGATATTTAATTTTATCATTTTAAATTATATAAACATTTTTCGAAATTAAGACACTTCCTTCACCCTCATCACTTATGTATTAGTGTATTAAGTGACTCATCCAGCCCAAGTATTAATGACTGAATAAATAATGCGAGTAAATGTTTTATTTAAAAAAAAAAAAAATAGTTGTTTAAAAAAAGATAAATTACTAAGGGCTCATGCTGTTCCATAGAAATCTAATGGATCATATTGTACTAGATATTCATATAGAACACAGTAAAGGTAATTGTAGTTTCTTTGGCATGTTTTACGTTACAAATAGAATGTGAAAAAATGTGGAGAGAATTTTGGGTTGAAACATCAGATATTAAAGAGTTTAATAAAGCTTTAGAAACTGTCCTGAATAAAAATCACTATTATTAATAATAATACTTGAATTCACAAGCATCAAATGCGTGCTAATGAAGATTATTTCAATTCTCCCCATTTCCAGATAACCATAGAATGTTTATTCAATCTTTAAACTGTGGCCGAGCCATCTTACATAAAAACCTAAAGAAATGTTTTGTTATGTATCCCTTTCAACTGCCTGATAATCCAATATCCTGATTTACTATGCGGTAAGCCTTCCATCATCTATAGTTTAAAAGTTTGTCTTTAAACAAAGCTTTAGAAACTTTCTTGCATAAAAATCACTATATTAATAATAATACTTGTATTTGCAAACATCAAATGCATGCTGGGGAGATTATTTCTCGCCATTCCCAGATAACCTGAGATTGTTTGTTCATTCTTTTAAGTATGGCCAAGCCATCTCACATAAAACTCTTTCAAAGAATAATAATTAATAAATAAAATATTAATTCATTCCTCATTGTGTCTTAAGTTTCTAAAGTTTAAAGATAGTGACTAGCATATATCCTTATAGTGACTGGCATAGTTTCAAGGATACAATTAGAGTAGCCGTCTGTTGTATATCAATGTTGTTATAGGCAAATATAATATGAAATGGTGATGTTCCTTGTCATAACTAGATTGAGAACCGGTGGTGTGCTTGCACCTGGTTACCTATCCGGGCTGCGGGGCTAAGTTGGGACTGGTTAACACCTTCGGGTTAGGTATGGTCCCAGCCGGTGCCTCGCACCCCATAGAATAGCTGTATTCTCCTCTATCATAACTAGATCATTTTTACCATACTGTGTTTATGTTTCACAAGATTCATAAGTGATATAACTTATATCACTACGGGAGATGGTGTTAGATTATATATTCATGAGAGTCTTAAGGCCAAAATCCTTCTACAGTCTCCTCATCATGATTTTCCTCACGTGGAATACATGTTCGTTAAAATTTCCTTTATTCCCTCTCCTCTGTTTATGTCGTAGTTTACCGCCCCCCTCCTGTTCCATTTGACAACCTTTTTGAATCTTCCCTTACTGACCTGGTTTCCAACTATATCAATATTATTATCACCGGCGATTTCAACGTGAATATGCTTTCACAATCTCCTGAAAAATACTTCCTAACCGACCTACTGTTTTCCCTTAACCTTTATCTTGTTCCTTATTCTCCTACCCATCACACGCAATTTTCCGACACCTGGTTAGACCTCTACATCTCTGACTCGCACATCAAAATCCTCTCTTCTTCCCAACACCCTGTTCCATTTCTTTTATCACACGACCTGAACCCAATTACATACGACCTACCCGTGAAATCCTTTACACCCAAAATAGTTTCATACCGTAATTTAAACCTTCTGTCCTATGAATACCTTCAACCGGACCTTGATTCTTTCCAATGGAACATCATATCTTCCTATAACTCTATTGATCCTATGGTATCCTGTTAACCTGATAATATCCCCGTAAAACTAATAAAATCCAACCTTCCTGCCCTGATTCCTGTTCTTTACCATATCTACAACTTTCCACTGCAAAACTCTATATTCCCATCCTCCTGGAAAACTGCCCTAGTCCGACCTTTGAATAAAATTCCCAATCCTACCTCACTGCACGATTTCCGTCCTATTTCTCTCCTATCCAACCTCACAAAGCCGTTAGAACGCCTTGTCCAAAACCAACTCTCCAACTTCCTAGAAGCTGGAATCAACCCATTCCAATCTGGCTTTCGACCTGGTTACTCAACACAATCCGCTCTCCTTAAAATAACCCATGACCTCCAAAACTCCATCGAACACCAAAATCTTACCATCCTCATTCTTCTAGATTTTCCAAAGCGTTCGATACAGTTGACCATACATCCTCCTTACGAAATTGCACAATCTTCCTCTATCCAACAGTGTCCTGCGCTGGTTCAAATACTTCCTTTCAAATCGGTCCCAGTATGTAGTAGTCCCAGGGCAAACTTCATCTAAGACCCTTCCCCTCACCTGTGGTGTCCCTCAAGATTCCTCTCTATCTCTTACTCTGTTTGGTATTTACATCAATGACCTTCCCCTCATGATCAGTCACTCCAATTACCATATCTATGCAGATGATTTCCAAATATACGTGTCCTTCCCGCCCTCCAACCTATTATCTGCCACAGAGAAACTACAAGAAGACTTGGATAGGATTTGTGACTGGGCGAGAACTAACAAGTTGAAGTTGAATGCGGGAAAGACGAAGGCAATCTTAATAGGCTCCAATTACCTCCTTAAAACTGTTCCTAATATTCCAATTCTGTTTCTCCATGATAATCCCATCAAATTTTAACCCACCGACAAAAACCTTGGAATAACCTTCGATCAAACACTTTCCTGGAAAAACCATGTATCCAATATTTCCCACCGTACCATTTCCATTCTAAAACGTCTCGTCACCTATTTCCATTTGAAACCCATAGGCTCCTAGTCACTTCTTTAATTTTCCCCCACTTTGACTATTGCTGTTCGGTATATGGGGACGTCTCTGGGGATCTCGATGCGATACTAAAACGTTTAATAAATTGCTTTGTATGATTCATCTTCGGGATACCAAGGGACACCTCTTTTTCCCATTTTTATGCAGAGTTGAAGTGGCTTTATCCTTCCTACCATCATAAATATTTCCTGGCATCCTTCCTCTTTCAAGTTATCCAATCACACCGTCCTTCACACATCTCTGAGCTCCTTCAATTCAAATCCACTGTTCGTTCCCGGTCTTCTGACTTATACATAAAGGCCCACCGAACCGTTGCTTTTGACAGATCTTTTATTATCCGATCCTCATCCCTTTGGAACTCCATCCCTTCTTATATTCGACAATCTAATACCCTTCTGTTCAATTATTTCTTATCCATTCAGTCCCAATGAAATTGTAAATAGAAACTAATGTAAATATGTATGTAAATTATTAGCTCGTTCTTCATTATTTTTGCTTCATCCTTTTTTTTTTAATTTTTAATTTTTTATTATTAACTGATTAAAATTAGAAAGTAATTTATAATTTTTAATTTTATTACTATGACTATTTAATTACTCAGTATCTTTATTTATGTATCTCTGAGGCTCCTTAGCCCATATTTATGTCTTTCTGTATTATTCTACAGGGACTCGTCCCAGAATAAATAAAGTATTATTATTATTATTATTATTATATGCAATATTAACAAGCATGTGGTAGATAGTGGAGGTAAAACAAATCCGGCATTTTCCTGCTAAGATGACGATTAAGTGATAAGGAAGCCTACTGGAATTCCAGCAAACCATGATAATAGTCAATAAATAATATCATATTAACAATATTTAAAATAAAAATTAAATATAAAATAAGAATTTTAATACAGCAAAAGTTTTCATACATATTCATACTCTACGATAATTTATTTATTAATTTCAGATAGTTTTTAAATTAATATTTTAAACACAGCTCTTCCTTTTTATTACGATTTTAAATTACTAATTACACATTTTTGGTAAAAGCCAACTTTAAATCTATATTTTTTTGTTATTCTCTAAATCATATCTTGTCAAATCTGTTTTCCTATTTCTTCACATTAATTTCTAATGTTATGTTAAACAGAGGATAAAGATAAATAAGATCATGTAATAAGTTTATTAAAAAATTAATAGATCTAATTTTTAGAGCAGTAAACTAATTAACCTTCACCACATGCTAGCAAGACAACCAAAATCAATCTCTGAAGTAAAATTGCTAAATAACATACTAATGTTCACCAGAACCCAGGGACTTGGGAAGTACACGACAATTCCTAATGAATAATACTTCAAGACTTAAACAGACTTTTTCAATATCTACACTAATCACAAAACAGATGCGGCTTCATGGGCCAATTTGATGTCAAATAACATAACTACGAAGGAAAACATACTAAAAAGAATGTATTGTTAAAAAAATGAAGAAAAACAAGCTATTTTAATAATAAATCTAAATCCGTCCAAAAATAAATGGTGGTTTATTTTTTTATTATAAGTCACTGTCCTAATAAATACTAAAACATAGACTTGACATTAATAACTGATATATTGATGGTATCACGTGATAACCTTGTAACTGACATTTGTTTTTCCATCAGAATTAAATCTTCCATCAGATAAGGCATAAAAAGTTATTAGAAATTTAGTTCAAACTTATTTAGAGGATTTCACCAATTTACGAGCCCCTGAGCTATCATACAGCACTTTTTTGTTTGATTTGAAAAATGGTAATAATAAATTAAAACCAAAAAGGCACTTATGTGGTTATCATTTGAGACAATCGATATATGTTATATTTTGAGAACACAATACGTTGTCATTGACAAAATTATTAATTTATATCAATCAATATATTAATTACATCACTGTATGGGATGTTCAGATTTTGTTATAAAAACTGTAGTATGCTTAAATTATAAATCTTATCTATTTTTAATTAATTATTTATTTATCAAAGAACCTACCTTCATTTGCCAATCTGTTTAAGAAACTTTTAATAATTGGTTCCATATCTAATTCCGTTTTTGCTAACCATGTCTGCAGTATTTGCTTCATACATTCATCTTTATTTTCACTCAGATAATTATCGATTAGATCCTTTGATAAAAGCATTTCAAATTCAGGAACCTCTTAGAACAATACATGAATCATTCTTAAAACATATTCATTAATTGAAGTAAAATTTAAAAAAAAACTGGTAGTATACCTAATGATAAAGGAAGTAATTTATTTAAATATGACTGAATTCAATTAATTAAATATTTCTCTTAATGCACAAACCGTAAAACCAGCAAAAATATAATGTAATTCTAAAAGAAATCATTAGCAGTATTTCAAGAATATTAACCGTTAAATAAAACAGTTTTTGAATTCTTAAAGAAGGAAGCACAATAGATAAACGTTTTTATTTAAATAAAATATTTAATACATGGTTGGATAATACAATCATGTTTAATTTAGCAGCTTTGATGAAATGAATATACATAAATAAACTTCAAATGAGAACAAGTTTAGTAGATTTTTTTTTTATAGATGGAATATAGCCTTGAACATAATTTGCAAATTGAGCCCGAAAAAGAAAGTTATGTAACTAAATATAATTATATTTATTTTTTGGACCCCAATGATAAGGTCATGTTAGCAAATATTTTTCATAATCTAATATTCATTAATACCTTTCAAGAAGGTTTTTATTTCATCTACAGGACGAAATCCAGACATAACTTGAAACTCAGTTATAGCAATGGTCATCTCTGGTTTATGATTCCCATCTTTATAAATTGTGGGCATCCTTTTAAACAAATCCAAAGCTTGTTCCTGCAATTGACATAAATGATTATCTATTGAAAGTAAAAATATTAGAAAATAGTTATATGAAACCCCTTAGTAATTGAAAAGTAGCTATTTCTTATCCTGTTATTGAAACTGCAAGTATTTCAAGCAAGAAATTAAGAAAAACTACATAATTTCAAAATAAACTATGGTTAATTCCTAAATTATGTGAAAAAAATAAAAGATAGCAAACAATTTTTATTATAGAAGCAGAATAACTTTCTAAAATCATTTTACCAAATAACAAACCATATTAGATTTTCATATACCTAATACAAATCCATAAACCATACTTTATTATATTTTTACTCAGAAAAAAATAATTAACTGAGGAAAATTCAATAAAACAGATTGTTGTAAAGATAGAATAAATTAGTTATATGAATTTATGAACTTATATAATAAAAAAAATATGTTACACAAAACTCCCAAAAAATGCATATGTGAATTCATATATCAACTGTGTTTAACTTCCTTGATTATGTAAAACAATGAAAGAAGAATAGGAATAATTTTCAAAACAGAAGTAGAAAAAACTAGCCTTTGAACATTTAGTGCATCAAATGAGCATTCTTTTAAACAAATAAGTCACAGAATAATATATATATAGAACAATAAATAATAACAAACTGACCTTGTTTGGATGACACTGTATGGAGAGGGCTTTGTTAACTGATAACACTTTGAACAGAAATGGTAACAACTGTTCAGTATTTGACAAACGAACAGGTTCGACATTTTTTTTAAGCCAGGCAGATAGAGGTTGTTGTTTGTCTTTAACAAGGGACTCACCATTGTTATGTATACCCATCCATAATTCGGCATACGGTGTTTCATCATCAATTTTTAAGTCTGTATTGTTGCACATAATTTGTGCCACCAAACTGTTTTTGCCAATTTTCCCCCATTCATAATTTTGCAAATGACCTGTAATTTCCATTGAAATTATTCGAAACAACTGCTTCAAAGAACTAATTGTAACTACAACGAGAATGCGGAAATAGAACTGAAACTTTCAAGGGACAGAAAACAAAACCAAATCACATTAGATAACCCTTAATCAATTTATGATAACAGCTTTTGTAACCTTTGCGCAACTAAAGTCACGCAAGGTATATTTCTCATCCTTCCATTGGTTATCTTGAAATGCGCGGCAAATTTAAAACCGTCTGCCAAGTATGGTCAGTATGACTTCCTTGCCTTTTTTCATTGGCTAAACATTATATATATTTCAAGAATTTTTCATATGAGAATAAAATCTCGGGAGAAGCCGTTTTCTCAAATACAGTAATTTCTTAAGATTCATGGGTTCGATATCCACGAGTTTTGTTCATCAGGGAATACAAAAATGCAAAAGAGTTCCACATCTGCAGATTGAATATTTGATGTTCAGTGATTTAAAAAAAAAATCCAGTACGTACTGAACATGCATATCACTATTGTTACTAAAAAAGGTCGTTGTAAAAATTGAGTGTTTTACAGGAGAGCATAAAAACTAATTATTATTTTGATACTTAGAACTTTGAAGGCTTCAGATACTTCTCCTTGTATTAGGACACTATATTTGGGGTCATTTGTCAATTTCACCAACATACCGGGAACTCCCAATTCAGTCATGACTTTCCAATGACAGCTCCTGTCCACAGAGTCATAGGCTGCTTTGAAATTGACAAATAGGGCTTGGAAGTCCTGAACTACTTCCCATCATTTTTGGAGTACTTGTTTTAGGATGAAGATCTGGTCTAGCGTGCTCCTCCCTTTTCTGAATCCAGCTTGGTGGTTGCCTATTATATTCTCGTAATTCGGTTTAGTACGATATTGGTCATTATCTTGTAGGCAACCGGAAGGAGTATCTTGTAATTACTGCATGAAAAATTATAAATCTTCAAATATAGATATTGTTTATCCAGTGAAAACAGCTATACTGATCTTACTTGGCAGACTTTTTTAAAAGCAATGGATAGAATTTGATTAAGTTGATACTTACTTGATTATCTGTTAACTAATCCCTAACTTCCCTCCAGATTTGAGCTAAATCGAACGTGCGGTTTTAGAGACAAGACTTATTAAGGAAAACACGTTTGAGGATATAAAATATAGTAGTGAACGGTATTAAATAAAATTGATATTACATTGCTTTTTTTCCAACTTTGAGCCAAATAGAACGAGCTGTTTCTGAAATATTAGCAAACCTAAAAAAATACGTTTGTGCGTGGCTATACGGAAGTATAGGATGGAATTTAATAAAATTGATATGGGACCATCTAGAAACAATCTCGGAAATTTACATGAAAATCCAATAAACGGTAGTAGGTGAAATACCCGTTACATCGATTTGATTACAGACAGACACCGAACAAAATTTGATCCGTAGATGTTTGAAATGTCAAACGCAAGTAGACATTTTCGAATCTGAAGACAATGTTTTTTTAACCTCTCGCACGAATACAAAGCTTCCCTACCCTCGGTAGTGAGGAAGCAAAAATGATGAGAAAAGCTATGAAATAATTTCAATAAAAATAAAAGAGATTACGTTAAAGACCGATAGGAATTCAGAACAAATTATTGAAGCCTACATACAGACGAAAACTGAATACATCCAGATCAAACGAAAAGGATAACTTGATGGTCATCCTCTTTTCGGAATCTCTAAACACATCGACTTTTACTAATATAGCACTCTAATACGAATCGAGAGAAATATAGGGAAACTTCATCCTTATAGACGAATTTTCTAATGTAATATAAAAAAAAATATTGTTGTGACCAGCAAGAGCGAATTCTGACAGGGGGCGCCTCCCACTTGCCTGGATGGTGGACGAAAATTCTGAAAAAGTTCTAAAAAGCAGCTATTTAAAGAAAAGAGAAATATAGAGAGAATTCATCTTCAATGAACAATTTTCTAATGTGATATACAAAAATATATTATCATGACCATTTTTATTAATCTTACGGTTTGTCATATCACCTCACCTCACCAGACCGTGGATCGACTTGCAAACAAACCATAGAATAGAAACAATGAATAGAATGTAAGAGCAAAAGTTGGCACGGAGGGTGAAGAGATGCAGTTTTGTGGCTGTTGCACAGTTGGATGAGTAAGAGAAAGCTCGCAACATTGGCTAAATCTATTTTATTTTTTTTAATTGTACTACTCAATAAAAACAGTGAAAAATGTATATTCTGCCAACTAAAACTATTCACATGAATTCCAGAAGGTATCAATAAAACAATTTATCTAGTTTATGAGGTTCTATAAAAAAATTAAATAAAATTGATTTAGCCAATGTCGCGCCACTTCGAACTGATTCTCGTAGCTGAAATACAGGATGTAGGAAAATTAATTTATATAAAAAAAAAAAATAAGAAAGAAATGAAAAAAAAATATCTTTATTAATTTTTACGAATAACCTTTTATTCAAGAAAAAGAAAATACTGATTTTCTCGCGGACCCAGTTTTTATTCAGTTCCATTAGATATGGAAGCACTGAAACCTACAGCATCTATACACACAGCCTCCTTGAAGAATCCATGCAACTTATAAAACAGGTCACGATAATAATTTGTATGATTATCATTAGAAACTGTTTTTCTTTTCTTAAAATAGCTGCTTTTCGGAACCTTTTCACAATGGAAGGTACTAATTATTTGGTCTCCGATATGAACGGAATATGAATATGATCGGGATGGAAATTCTGAGATTTTTCTCTTAGAGGAATCATTTCCAAGCTGCAGGGCCATTTATGGTATTCTGTCTCAGTTTTTGACAAATTTGCTAAAAATTAGCGTTCGTTGACCGTGGTTATTGACCATTGTTATAGGCCATACCACTTAATCAAATTATTAAGTTTAGGTACTCGTTCGAAGCACAATTAAACGTTATTTAAATTCTTAAAGAATACGTTTATCGCTTCGATGCCGTGTTTAGTAGTAATTGGTGAAAAACGTCTGCCAAGTAAGGTCAGTATGGCTTCCTCACCGTTTTCATTGGCTAAATATATTTATATGATGAGTATCCAATATCTCCCGACGGACATTTTCCACCCTAAAACACATAAATAGCCTCCGACACCTTTTTCCTTTTGAAATCCGTCGACTCCTGGTTACCTCCTTAATATTTCCCCACTTCCACTATTGCTGCACGGTATATGGGGGCGTCTCTAGGGATCTCGAGGCGAAACTAAAAGTTTGATAAATTGCTTTGTACGATTCATCTTCGGGATCCCAAGGGACGTCCCTGTTTTCTGTTTCTATGAAGAGTTGAAGTGGCTTTATCCTTCCTACAGCCGTAAGTATTTCCTGGCATTCTTCCTCTTCCAAGTCATTCACTCCCGCCGTCCTTCATACATCTCCAAGCTCCTTCAATTTAAATCCTCTGCCCACTCCCGCAATACCCGTTCCCGGTCTTCAGATTTATATATAATGGCCCAACGAACCTTTGCTTTCGATAAATCTTTTATTATAAGTAACTTACGCCATAATGTCAGTTTAGAAAAACAAGTAGTTCTCACAAAACATCCATTAGGGCCTTAATCATTAACTTTGCAGTTGTACAATCCTTCACTAAGTCAAGATGTTTGTCAGAAAGTCCTTCAATAATGATAGCTTAAGCTTTGGTATCTTGTAACAGGAATGTTTTCTTGATATTTTCATCATTCGGAACTTCACAAATTCTTAATCTGTTCTTTTTCCAATATTGATTGGAAATTCCCAATTGCTATAATTTGACCCGACTAGAATAGGAACTGCAGAACTTACTTTGGCCATTGCTTCTTTGTTCTTATAATTACACGAGGATCATTAACAATTGTCACTCGATTACACACTCGCTTACACGAGGATCATAAACAATTGTCAATACACTGGGCCCATAACCTGTTAATAATGGTTAGGGTTTCTTGATGAAAAAAACACAGACAAAACAGAAACGTTTATGGTGAAAGAACACCACAAAAATAGAAGCCATATCGAGGGAGTATACCTTGTTGTGATCACTGACGTCACATCTGACAGTGTTGCCAGTAACAGTGTTGTAGGTAGAATATACAATAACAAATAAAATCAATTAATTAATCCTAACAATTTCATATTTCATACTTTTTTAAAAAAAAGTATCAATAATAGTTACAATATACTTCTGTTCAAAGTGTAGAGTATCTATCAACTCCTCGAATGGTCTCATAGGTGTTGGTGTTACTTGAAATTTTGATTTGATAGGTTTCCTATCATATTTAGTTTTCTGCAGATATTGCATAAATTGATAAACTGGTTAATTTCTTCTTTCATCCTAGGAAAATAATAAGTCCTTTTCATTTTTTCAAAAGTTTCTAAAACTCCTCTGTGGAATGATTTACCTGTATGATAATTATTAATGAATTCTGTTTGTTCTTCTTTCGTTTTAAGACATTGGTTGTATATCTTTTTAATTTGACATAAGGGAATATCTCCATAATTATTGAAGACTTATTTTGGAATATTCCTTCATAATCACTTCTAACCGTTTCTACGTTAGGTTCACAATAGACTCCATAAATTTTGTTTGGTTTTAATTTTTCAATTAAAGATTCTTCCAAGTCATTACTCCAAGGGTAAGCAATTTCTATAAAACATATATTTTTACCGATTGTTTTTTCTAGTCGTATTTGTTTTTATCCTCTTTATATAAAACTTTGATTTTTTTCTATGTTGATCAGTTTTGATTCATCAACAATAAATATTTGTTCATTATTGCTCTCTTGAGAATGTTGGGTATTTAAACTTTCATTACCGAAGTTGGGATTATTTAATTCATTTTCTAATTGAGCATTATTATTTTCTAAATCAATGATATTTCTTTCTTATATTTCCATATAGTTGATTTCTAACATATTTTCATCACAATCAAAAACATCTGGAGTTGTTAATGGCATTTGAGAGGTTTCTCCGAGTATTCTATCAAATTGCAAAGCTGAATCTTTATCTAAATCAAGATTTGTCATTGCGGTAATTATTATTCTTCAACGAAATTATGGAGAAATTCCCTTATGTCAAATTTAAAAGATATTTTATTTCAAAATCGTATTTGTGTAAATAAAATAAATGTCAGTCCTAGAAGTATTTTACAACGCCCAATGTTCCTTCTATTGAAATTT